CATGTGCAACATTGGTTAGTATGTATGTCAAAAGTGGGTTTTTCTCATTTATAGCAGTCAGTGGCTAATCCAAATCTTGTAGTCTTTCATTAGGACTCAGATTAGTTTTTTTTTTTTTAATTATTTTTTTTAATGTTTTATTTATTTCTAGGAGAGAGAGAGAGAGAGCGTGAGCAGGGGAGGGTCAGAGAGAGAGGGAGTCACAGACTGAAAAAGACTCCAGGCTCTGAGCTGGCAGTCAGCACAGAGCCCGACGCGGGGCTCAAACCCACGAACCGTGAGATCATGACCTAAGCGAAAGTCGGACGCTTAACCGACTAAGGCACCCAGGCGCCCCTCAGATTAGTTTTTTTAACTGAAAAATTTAAAACAAAAGTGAAACTTTAAAACGATACGGATAAGGCATGGACTCCTTTGGTCATGACCCCGTTTCCATCACCTACCATAAGCGTGCCTAAGAAGATTCTTGTAGTTACGACCCATTCTCCACCACTATCCTGACTTCTAACACTGTAGATTACTTTCCAAGAGTGATTTTTCAAACTAATATATCATAAAAAATCCTATTTCCATCTTCTCTTGAAAACTTAGAAGTTCTGGCAACACCCACGTAGGCCCAAGTGCCTAGGTACAACAGTGACCACTCCTAGCATTCCTCCAGTTTGGCACAGACCCCTTGGTGACTCATCCTGGAAGTCTCACCCACTGACAGATCTGTGAATTGCCTCATCTCTAAAGATCTGTGAATTGACGACTTCTAGTTAGCCTGTCATCTACTGAGGCTATTCAAGCAGTTTCTGGATTTTCCTTATTTGTTTGTTTGTTTAATCCTAGGATTCTTTTCTAAAAAAACATTTAGTTATTTTTGAGAGAGAGAGAGCGAGTGAGCAGGGGAGGGTCAGAGAGAGAGGGAGACATAGAATCCGAAGCTGCTCCAGGCTCTGAGCTAGCTGTCAGCTCAGAACCCGACGCGGGGCTCAAACCCAAGAACCGTGAGATCATGACCTGAGCTGAAGCCAGATGCCTAACCAACTGAGCCACCCAGGCGCCCTGGATTTTCCTTTACTAAAAAAGAAAATACTGCACCCAGCATTTTCCACAGGTGTGTGTGCACGTGCACTCATCCAAGAAAACTGAAAACACAGGCCCACATAAAACCTTGTACACAAATGTTCAGAGCTGTAATATTCACATGAACCAAAGGGTTCAAGTGTCTGTGACCAATGCGTGGATACACAAAATGTGATACATTTACACAACGGGGCATTACTGGCCATAAAAAGTAATGAAGTGCAGATTCGCGCTGCAACGTGGATGATGCCTGAACACATTATGCTGAGTGAAGAAGCCAGTCATGAAAGATCACACATGCTGTATGAAATGTCCAGAACAGGCAAATCCATAGAGGTGGAAAGTAGACTGGCTGCCAGGTGCTGCAGTGGAGAGGTGCAGAGGGTGGGAATGGGTGCAGGTTACTTTGGGGGATGATGAAATGTTGTGTTCCAAAAATAGATGGGGTTGATGTTCGCAAAACTCTGTAAATTTACTGAAACTACAGAATTGTGCACTGGAAATGAGTGAATTGGGTAGATGAATTCCCTCTCAATAAAACTGTTACTTGAAAAACAAACAATACTGGGGCACCTGGATGGCTCAGTCGGCTAAGCGTCCGACTTTGGCCCAGGTCATGATGTCATGGTTCATGAGTTCAAGCCCCGTGTGGGGCTCTGTGCTGATAGTGAGGAGCCTGGAACCTGCCTCGGATTCTGTGTCTCCCTCTTTCTCTCTGCCTCTCCCCCGCTTGCATTCTGTCTCTGTCTCTGCCTCTCAAAAAAAAAAAAAAAAAAATTAGAAAAATTAAAAAAAATACTGCCATGAACACCCTTTAAAAAATTTTTTTTTAATGTTTTTTATTTATTTCTGAGAGAGAGAGAGACAGCGTGAGCAGGGGAGGGTCAGAGAGAGGAAGACACAGAATCTGAAGCAGGCTCCAGGCTCTGAGCTAGCGGTCAGCACAGAGCCCGATGATGCAGGGCTCGAACCATGAACTGTGAGATCATGACCTGAGCCAAAGCTGGACTTTTAACCGACTGAGCCACCCAGGTGCCCCAATGAACACCCTTGAACACCCCGTTCGGTTTCTGGAATTGCTGGGCCATGGGGCCATTTTTAAAAATTTCTCTGGAGTGGCTCTACCAACAGTGTGATCATTGTTTCTGCATACCTTTAGCTACACCTTCCATTTCGTCTGATGGGGAGGTGAAAAAAATTGGCATCTTTAATTTATATTTCTCTGGTGGCCAGTTTTAGAATCTTACTGGGCATTTGTGTTTCCTATGAACATGTCTTCACCCATGCTCTTATTGGAATGTCTTTGATTAATTGTTAGGGTTTTTTGTTTGTTTTTTTTTTTGGCAGTTTTTAATACATTTTGTATACATACTTTGTTCTATATTCTGCAAATATTTTCTCACATATAAAATTTTAGTATGTGTAAAACACTTAGCAAGACCCTGATACGTAGTTACTAAGTAGGAAGTGTCATTCTTACTAATAGGGAAGACTCTGAAGGCAAGGCTCAGTGAAGGTGTCAACAATCCACATACACCTACATTTCACTATGTTGACTTAATTACTCACATACTATAAGAAACACCACCAAATAGTCACCAAAGTGGTTCCATCGGTTTTATTATTTTTTCTTTTTTTAAGATTTCATTTTTAAGTAATGTCTACACCCAGTGTGGGGCTCGAACTCACAACCTGAGATCAAGAGTGGCATGCTCTACCGACTGAGCCAGCCAGGGACCCCCTCCACTGACTTAAAATTTTTTTTAATCTTTATTATTGAGACAGAGAGAAACACAACATGAGTAGGGGAGGGGCAGTGAGAGGGAGACACAGAATCCAAAGCAGGCTCCAGGCTCTGAGCTGTCAGCACAGAGCCCAACGCGAGGCTCGACCCCATGAACTATGAGATCATGACTTGAGCCGAAGTTGGACACTAAACCGACTGAGCCACCCAGGCGCCCCTACACTGAATTTATTTCCTACATTTTCCTGTCCTTTCCCTCCTTCCTTCCATCTATCCATTTGTTCACCTGGTCATTTACAGTAAAAACCATGCTGGGTCTGAGACGAGGTAATGTTTGGTGGGAGCCTCTTTCCGAGACACAGCCATGCTCAGAGAGCTTCTCTCACTATGAAGTGACAGGAGAGCTTTTGTCCAGCCTTTTGAGAAATACTTGGTATCAGAGTTAAATGCCAAGAACCACCCAAGTGCTCATCTCCTTAGTTTTATGGACATGTCCCACCAAGAGATGGAAGCAGACATTTATTTTTATTTTTTATTTCAGTTCCTGATCTGACCTCAGCAGATACATGGAAAAACGGGGCATACAATCAACCAGGGATAACAAAAGCAAAAGCAAAAGAAATTTCCTTTCTAGCTCATGGCTCTCAAAAGCAATTTAAAAACAGATTCCTGTGGGGCGCCTGGGTGGCTTAGTCGGTTAAGCGTCCGACTTTCACTTAGGTCATGATCTCGTGGTTCATGGGTTTGAGCCCCGCGTTGGGCTCTGTGCTGACTGCCAGCTCAGAGCCTGGAGCCTGTTTCAGTCTGTGACTCCCTCTCTCTCTGACCCTCCCCTGCTCACGCTGTCTCTCTCTCTCCTAGAAATAAATAAAACATTAAAAAATAATAATAAATAAATAAATAAATAAAATAAAAACAGATTCCTGTGAGAGGTGGCTAAATCAGTTAAGCGTCCGACTTCGGCTCAGGTCATGATCTCACAGTTCATGAGGTCGAACCCCATGTTGGGCTCTGTGCTGACAGCCAGCTCAGAGTCTGGAGCCTGTTTCAGATTCTGTCTCCCTCTCTCTCTGCCCCTCCCCCACTCATGCTCTGTCTTAAAAATAAAATAACATTTTTTTAATTATTAAAAAAAAAAAGAAAAAGATTCCTGCAGACTCTTCACTTGCAGGCGGATTCCTACCCATAGGCTGCAGCTGTGGGAACCCCCAAATGCCACAGGCTCCCATGGCTGAGAAAGCACTGGTGGTTGGGGGTCCCTTCCAACCAAGGATAGCCCTTAACATGCAGCTGCATGGGGCTCATTGCTCCTTATCTTGAGGGATGTCCCAAACTCCAGACTTAAAAACATACACACAGGGATTTATTAGGCAATCCGGTTTGGTCTGCTCTCCTGTCGTGGCCCCTGGCCAGGAACACAAGGGCAGAGGAAGCACAGGGTAAAATTTCATCCCTATGGGTTAATCTCAGCCCTTTATTGCCCACCATTCACAGTGACCCTCTGTCCTTCCTCACGTTCAGCCCAGAGCAGCACAACCTCATAGTTACTGGGCTCTTTCCTTCCCGAAACTAAGAAATCAAAGCAGGTACCTTACATCCTGTGCTAGGAAAAACCCGATGGAGGCAGACAGCCCCTGGGGCCCCTGCAGGGTGGAGGGGACACTGTCCGCAGGGGTTCTGTCAAAAGAAGTGCCTGATCACTGCAGACAGGGAACCGCTGCCGCTCACGCTCACTAAGTTTTAAGAAAACATTCCACAAAGTCTATAAAACTGTTTAGAAAAAATTTATTTGAACATATGAAAGGAAAATTTAGACCCCAATGAAACAGAGAAGCTCCTGGGCGGTGAGGGCAGCCCTGGCCCGGTTTCCAGGCCGGCGCTGAGTACAGCACCCCGGCCTCGAGCTCACGGAGCTAACAGGAGACCCTGGTACCAGGGACCCGCCACACTCACAAGCAGAGAAGCCACAGGGACCTGCAAAGGCTGCTCGTCACACCTGCACCCGGGCCACTCGGGCTCCTGGCTTGTTGGAAGCGCCACACAGGACCCCGGGCTGGCGGAAGGGCATCAAGGACCCCCGCCCCACTCTGTGCGCCTTCTTCGCGCCTTCTTCCTTCCTTCCTTCCTCCTTCCTCCCTCCCTCCCTCCTTCCTTCCTTCCTTCCTTCCTTCTTTCCTTCCTTCCTTCCTTCCTTCCTTCCTTCCTTCCTTCCTTCCTTCCATCCATCCATCCATCCATCGGGTCTGGACTCCTGCGACTGTCACTGGGCGGGAGGCACCCGGGCTGCGCACGTCGCGCAGCTTCCGCACCAAGACAGTCCTGCCGGTGAGGGGCGGGGGGGGGGGCCGCCGGCTGCCCCCCGAAGGTCCTCTTCTATGGGGTGGCTCCCCTTTCTCTGGAAGGCTTCCTCCGGCCCCGGCGCAAGGCACACTGCCACTCGGCGGCACGCGGGGCCGGCCTAGCGGATGGGCCTGAACGGGAACGTCATGCCCGAGATGAAGGTGTGGCCTGGGTGTGTGGGCAGCGCGGGGTGGGCGGCGGGGTGGGCCGGCACGGCCCCGTAGCCCAGCGGGGGCGTGTGGATGTGGGGGTAGAAGCCTGGGGGGAGCGCCGCGTGGGGCGCCTGCTGCACCGGGCCTGAGATCACCAGCTGGAGCAGGCTGCAAATACAAGGACAAGGGTTAGGCGCGCGGCACTGGGTGAGCCTGTCCGCTAGTGGACGTGCTGCGGCCGGGAAAGGACAGAAGGCCGTGGCGTGGCGGTGGCCTCCCGTGTCTGCCACGAGGGGCACCGGCTGCAGGCACAGAGCCTGCAGGTTTCCAGGCGCAGAGATCTGTGAACTCGGAGAGCATGGGGGTGGCTTGTGGCTGGGGAAGAGCGGCAGGAGGGGACCTGGAGGTGGCAGGATTGAGACTGCCCCCTCCCCCGACCCGCCCAGCAGAGGAGAGCATCCTGCAGGCATCAGAGAAAGCACAAGGCAGGTAACAGAGGCGGGGCGGCGGCAAGACTGCCGAGGAAGGGTCTTCACAAGGCTTACGGTCCCGGGGAGCTCTGGGCACAGCCTCAGCGTCTGTGGCCTAGGGACCCCCACGTCCGGTTCAGCCCCAAGTACACACCTAAGAGGGTCACAACCAAGCCTCGACGGCATGAAGGGCAGCAGGCCACAGTCATTCGTAAGTGACTGAGTCTCAGCTGAATTCCAAGCACAGCCACTTGATAGCAGGCCTTTCACAGACTCTACCGGAAACGGGATAAGCCCCGGCCCCGAGACGGGCCAGGCCAGGACCAAGCCCCTTCCCATCTTCAGGGGCCACCTCCCATCCACCCCGGCAGGAGCTGCCAACTCTCTTGCTTACTTCCTCCTTCACTCTCCGGGTGACAGCCACACTCCAGCCCTACTCTTCACACCCTGCTACTACTTCCCCAACTCCCTTCGGCCCTGGCACCAGGCGCCCAGCACTTTCTCCACCCTGTGCTCTCCTCTCTGTGATCCCGGACATGCGTGGCCTGGGTCTCCCTCCTGGAATCCCTTTCGGTTTCCAGTGTTGGTCCTTCTGGATCAACCTGAAGAGCTCCCTCTGACCAGTCCCATCCTTGCCAGCCCCAGGCTCCCTCCCAGCAAGACCAGCAAAGATTTCTCACTTTCCCACCGCCAGGAGTGTTGAGGCCTAGCCCACCCACATCCTGCAGTCGAACCCAAATACCCAATCACCACCGGTTAAGGCCAGAATCATTCTCTGGCAGTCTCCTCTTCAAGACCGAGGCCACCCTCTCCAGCTGAGGCCTCCCCAGCCTGGCCCCTCCCTTGCTCCCCTGGCCTCTGCTTCAGACATACTGGCTCTGCTCTTGGTCTCCTAGCTACACCCTGGGGCTGCACCCTGTTGGGTTCTGTCTACACTGGCCTCTCTACATCAACCGTTCAAGCCCATCATTCACACTCAGGACCCCTCATCTCTCCCTCACACTGACGGCCCTGCTTGGTCCATGAGCAACCCCAGGCCCTTTGCTCTGGTCAGCTAGCTACCTGGAACTGTGAGAGGTGGGGGCTAAGTCTTCTGCAGACTGACCGTCACCCGCTCTCACCTCCCCACTCCCGAGTATAAAGGCTGGTGCCCAGAGCCCACAGGAGGCACTCAGGCAGTAAATTGAGGGCAGGAAGAAAGCTGGTACCTTGAGTGATCTGAAGCTCTTCTCAGCCCTTTTCATTTATGTTACTACTTTTTACAACTCAGGGTGAGAAATTCAATCAAAATAAGTAAACATATAAATAAATCTAAGGAGAGCATTACAGAGGCAAAATTTAGGTCATTCGTTTGTTTGGACCTGTTCACGCTGCCAGAGATAAAACGGGTTTCAAGAAGTTTATTCAGAAAGACAATTAACGGAAGAGAGACTACCAGAAGTCAAAGAAGTTTTCCAAGTGACTACGAGTCCTCTTTGCCTGCATCGGTGCCAGGCTGCCCCTGGGGGGCTGGGTTCTCGTATGTGTCAGGAGGGCGGGGCACTGGCTGTTAGGTCCCACCGGGATTCCAGTGGGGACCCCTAGTGATGATGCTGAGATGATAAAGGATTTATACCCTATCATCATTTTAATGCCCTGAAAACATTCAATATTAAAGAACAGCTGTGCACAAAGAAGAGAAATACTACAACGGAATTATTGGAAGAAGGGCAGAAACATGCCAACTTATGCTAACAATGTCCTCAGATACCAGGGAATTCTCCTACAGCCAGGGGAGCGGGGGAAGGGGAGAAAGAACAGTGTGGGCTCTTGAGGGAAAGGGGCCCCTGGACAAGCTGTCCGTGCTGTGACAGAGTATCTCTATCAGGACCGTCCTGTTCCACCAGGAGCCATGGCACTGATATGATACTTGGTTTTCGTGTCTACCCAGACACCTGACCGAAGCTGCCCCTTGCCTGCGGGGCCTGACACGGAGGTCCCCAGCCATAGGTGGGGACGAAGCCCTCAGACTGCAAGCACTCTTGCCATCAGCCCATGAGCCCACTCTGGCCAAGTCTGGTGACTGGTCTGCCATGCGTGCCCAGACGCAACGGCCCCGGCGGAGACAGCAGGCCGGGCCCTGGGCAGCCATGAGCACACTCGGTGCGATCGACAGGGCCCGGTGGGCTCGCGTAGCCTCCATCCACACTGCCTGCCAACGCCAGCCCTGGAGCCCTAGCCCCTGACCGTGCCCATCTAAAGAAACAAGGGCATTAGTAATCCTACTGCCTTCCCGCGACTGTTTCCTGTCCTTGTGCATACTACCCTGCCTTCAGCTGGAAACATTTCCTCACCAGGTTGCCACGATTACTAATTTTAGTAGATATGTAATTTCTGCCCTTCCGATGTGCCACTACTAACTTACGAGGTAGCCCTGTGCTTTGGGACTGTTGGGTTGTTTCCAGCTTTTTGCTACTAGAAATGCGCATCTGCATGAAACATTTTTGCACACTTGGCTTTTGCTTCTTAGAGGCAGTGAAACCAACCTGATTATGCGACAAGCCTAAGTTATGAGTGTAGCAGTGGGAGCAGGTAATACTTCTTAGATACTTGGTCCACACTAAGTACTGTTCCAAGTGCTTGCTAAGTTTTTACTCTAGTCCTCACAAAAATTCTATCTCAGGGGGTGGGGCGGGAGAGGTGGGGGGAGCAGACAAGAGGCAGGTACAATTATTTTCTTGATTTTACATCAAAACAAGGCAGTGGAAGACAAAGAACTTGCCAAAGGTCACACGGACAGCAAGCAGCGGCCTGGACTCTCCCCCAGCAGCTGTGTGACTCCGCAGCTCCTGCCCTTCACCTCTGTCACCGCTGCTGCCCCCAAATGATGACAATAACCACCATTTACGGGCAGATTCCCACGAGCCAGGGACTCGGCCTGGAAGTTTACAGACACCATCGCATTTAATCCTTCCTCCAACCCTGGGCACAGGTGAATTATCCCCCCCACTTTACAAAGGAGGAAACCAAGGTTCAGAAACAGGCTAAGGGATTGCCCGAGCATCACGGAAAACCAGTCGGAACCATGCTCAGGACCCAGTCAGTGCCATCTGTCAAAGAGGCCTAACTGCCACGCTCTGCCCCAGGGCCGTGGCTCTGAAGTATTTCCCAAAGGGCTGTGCAACCCACAATACCACCAACATACACGCAGGGACGCCAGAAGTCACCCCAAAACATGTGTGTTAAGTGCATGGAAAATGGCAACGAGCTTCCTCTGGTTTGTTTCCTGGACTCCCAGGCAAGATGGCCTCATGTCCTCGAGTTACTCTCTCATGTGGGTCATGCCATCCCACCCTCTATGTATCATCGGGTCCTTCGACGGCTCCTTACACACAGAAGCCCTCCCCAAGTCCAACCCCACCCCCGCCCGGCTAGCCGTTTTCAAGAGGGCACTTACTTATTATGAGGCAGCCTGGAGCACAAGGTTCTCAGGTCATCTGAAATCAAGGAGACACATAATCAGGAACAGATGGGGACAACACGGTCAAGTGTACATGGAGTTCTTTTCAAAGACACTGGCAAGCCAGCAACAGTGCCTGTAGCACATTTTCCTGTCACCACTCAGAAACTGCGTTCTCTCAGGCACCTGGGCGGCTCAGTCAATTAAGTGGCCGACCCTTGGTTTCAGCTCAGGTCACTCTCACACCCTTGTGGGTTTGAGCCCTGCATCTGGCTCTGCGCTGGCAGCACAGCACCTGCTTGGGATTCTCTCTCCACTTCCTCTGCCCCTTCCCCAATCACGAGGTCTCTCTCAAAATAAACTTAAAAAAAAAACCAACAAACAACAAAAAACTGTGTCCTGTCTTCCTTCAATTCTTGCTTTAACAACGAGGCTCCAAAGAGAGTACATGACTCGGGAGAGGGGCAGGTCCACCGGCCATCTGGCAGGTGGCTGGGAAAGGCTCCAGGGGCAAGGCTCTCCCTGAGCAGAGCAGGTGCTCCAGGCGTCCCGAGAGCGCCGAGGGGGAAGCCAAGTAGGACACGTACCACATGAGTGCTGCTTGGGGCCATAGGCCACTTCTGTGAGCCCACAGTCGGCAGACAAGCACAAATCCTACTAGACTCTGGGAGAGGCCAGCACCGCCATGCAGGAGAATCAGGAACCCGGAAGCAGGTGAAGGGAATGTTTTGTGCACTAGAACCTGTGCACTGTGGTATGTAACTCATGCCTCCGTAAAAAAGGATGCAGAAAAAAAAAGGATTCTCTGCGAGGGGGGACAGTGAGGGGTCATCCTTGCTCCCGAGGGACTCCCACTCCTGGGCAACATGGCCAGGAGACACTGAGACATCGTAGTCAGTGTTCTAAGCTCTGTGACTTCACCCTCATCCCTTGCACTACGAGGAAAGAAGCTGTAGAGGGGCACAGAGCCACACGTGTCCACGAGTCCCTATTTTCCTTCTTTTTTTTTTTTTTTAATGTTTTTTTTTTTTTTTTTTTTTTCTAGGAGAGAGAAAGAGAGAGAGAGCGTGAGCAGGGGAGGGTCAGAGAGAGAGGGAGTCACAGACTGAAACAGGCTCCAGGCTCTGAGCTGGCAGTCAGCACAGAGCCCGACGCGGGGCTCGAACCCACGAACCGCGAGATCATGACCTAAGCGAAAGTCGGACGCTTAACCGACTAAGCCACCCAGGCGCCCCTCCCTATTTTCCTTCTGACGGGCGGTGGCCACCCTGTCCCCAGGAGGGCCTGGGCCGGGGAGTCCTCACCTCGCGTGCACAGCAGGGCTCCAGAGGCCATGGCCACCTGCAGGGCTTGGGCCAGCCGGTCCAGAGATAGCTCAATCTCCTGGGAGGCGTTCAGGGGGTTCAGTTCATCCGCCAACCTGTTGATCTCCTCCACCAGTGGGACCATGTGGTCAAACAGGATGAGCCCCAGGCGCCCATAAAGATTCTTCTCGGTCAAGTGCACCTGGAGCATCATAAGGACTTGGAGGACGCTGAGGTGGAGCTTCGAGTACAAGAGGTGGGAGTCTCTGTCCATCCCTCCCGAGTCCTTTGCAACTTTGGTGGTGACGTGGCCGTTGGACAAGGAGGGCTTCTTCTTCCGTTTATAAGCCAGAGGGGCCTTCACACACCAGCGGATCAATCCAGTGAGTGGTGTGAGCTCTAAAAATCCTATTGGGAGATTGGCAGCAATCGGGGTATTTAAAAAAGTGATGAGAATCAACCTCGGGTCCTCGAAAATCCAGCTGACGATCATCTCAAGCAAGTCCGATGGTGGGATGAGCTCATCTGCCAACAGAGACGCTGTGAGTCAGACAGGCGCACGGCCCCAGCGATGTCAGCGGATGGAGGGGAGACGGACCCAAGTACACACTGCTCAGCACCTGATGCTCACACCACATACTCCGCTTCCCTATTTTCTGTCCCCTTTCCTAGAATGTCCCCTCCGTAGGAATGGGACTCTTGTCCTGGTCCATGCTTAGCCCCAGAGCCAGGACTGTCTGGCCACAGTGGGGCTCAAAAAAATATCTATTAAATTAACACTTCCCTAGAACTCCTCCATCCCTGAAGTTCATCCTATGGGTACATGTAAATACATTTGCACACTCTTTATGTCCCAAACTACTGCCACTCTCCGTCCCTTCCCAGAGAGTAGCTTTTGTCTCCTGTGACGGCTACCGTGGCCTTCACAGACCAGTTCAGAGTGCGCTCAGTGATCGGTCAGCTGCCAAGATCCCAGCCCCCCAATCTGAAATCTCTGTCTAGGCAAAGCCTGACCTCCTGTGACCCTGGAGACCTGGCACGTTCCATAGCCTAGACAGAGAACAGCAACAAAAACAAACGTTGATGTTTGTTCTGGGTTTGCGAAGGGCCAGGTGCTGTTCTAAACCCTTTACACAGATTAACTCACTCCTCAAACAGCCACCTATTACAGAGAGGATGGGGAAACCGAGGCATGACGATGTTAAGTCACTTCCCCAGGACTTATTCAAAGTATGAGGTGGGCCCAGATCTGGCCCCAGGGGACCTGTCTTACCCAGCTGGCCGCATTGGCACCCTGAGGCTGGTGCACAGCGCTCTTGGGTCGTCTGCGGGCATGGCCTGGATCCCCAGCCACCCATCTCTGGGGCTGTCCGGCCCTCAGCTTGCAGAGCACTAAGGATGACAGAGCCCGTTCCGGGTCACTGAGGCTGGACCCGAGCAGGAGCCAGGAGAGCAGGAGCCAGGAGAGCAGGGGGCAAGTGAGACACGTGCTGCTCTTTCTCAAGAGACTGGGGCCTTCTTCCCTGAGACCATGCCCCCGCCACACTAGAGGTAAATCGTGCCCCGCCCTTTGGTCATGAAATGTCGTCTGTGGCCTTCACATGGCAAAATGAACCGTGGGGTGGGGGGGCGAACCTTGTGTATGAGCCCTTGTCCTCCCCAAGAGGCTTCTGTCTGGGGAACACCAATCTCACGCCCTCTTGTCGGGCACACCACCCTTCCTGCCCGACACACTCACACTCACACACACACACACACACACACACACACACACACACAAGCTGAGGCACCTCTGAGAGCCTGAGGGCAGCATGTGCACGCGGTGTGTGCACTGAGTGCGTGTCTGCGAGCCTGAGGGTGGCGTGTGCACTGAGTGCATGTCCGCAAGTGGACCACCTCCATGGCTCTTCCTACTCGCAGACACAGCTTCTCAGCGCCGTCTGGGCCAGACAGGGTTCTGTCTCCGAAGGGGAGTTCCTTCCATCTTGTGGCCTGGAGGCCACAGACTCCCCAGAAAGGTGCCCAAGAGCAGCAGAGGTCACCATTCTGACCGTGGCCCCCAGGTCCATCCGCTAGGGCGACTGCTGTGTGCCCGGCCACCTCCCTGTCTCCGGACTCCCCAGGCCATATACATTAGCTTTCTGTACGTCAATCATACCTCCATAAAGTGGCTTAAAAAAAAAAAAAAGACAAAAAAACCACTGACCTATCAGATTGGCAACTGGCTTAAGAGAAAAATACCACGTCTCATATCCATTCTAGAACACTGGTGATATTCTCTGAACACTGCTTCCTTTTCCACACTATCTAATCTATTAGAAACTTTAAGGCCAATTTCCATCCTTGATGGCCTGGAATCACTGATGACTGCAAAGGGCGACTGGGATGTTGCAGGATGGGCTGAATTAAATCCTTCCTATGGGAAAACTAGGGGCCTGACTACTGTCCCTGGACATCAACAGCTCCGAGGAAGCTATGCAGGAAGCCAGGGAGAACCCTGCTCACAAGACTGGCCCCTCATCCCAGGGGCACGCTGCTGTGACAGAAAAGACGTGAAAGTGCATGTGACTGTGATACGCAAGTTGACATTCACAACTACGTCCACGTGAGCTTTCTCAAGGGAACTGAAAAGCTGAAGAGCAGGGAGTGGGGAGGGTAGATAAAGGTACAAGCAAAATGAGAATCAAATATAACCAGGGTGCTGCTGGGCTGAGCAAAGACAGAATCATGGAAGGCTCTCCAGCTGCTGGCTCGGCTGTCAGACTAGAGTAAGATAATGCTCGTCAGCCCTCTGAGCGGCGAGAGCCCTGGGCAAGGGACGAGGGACCTGAAACAGAAAAGGAGGCTTTTCTGCAGAAAAACTGCTTACCGGGATGGGGCCCAAAACCTTCTCATGTGGAAACCCAGGCCACAGCCCCTCTCTGGGAGCCCGCGTGAGCCGTGGGGGTCCCACAGGGACAGACGTGAGAGGATGCAGTGCTCCACAAACCTGTTTGTCAACCTGTGTTCCCCGGAAGTCACCCCCAGGGAGGAAAGAAGGCAGCGGGGCCCAGTGATTGTGGGGCTGAGACCCCCGCCCCAGCTCAACCAGAGCGGCTCATATTGGTGTTCTTGACTTGGGAGTCTGCAGAAAATGACTTGACCCGAGGGCTCTGATGCTGGGTAGGGACGGGCGTCACAGGCTCCTCCCAGGTGAAGTCAAATGCCATTTACTGGCTGCCCTGAGGACCTCGCCTGGCATCTTCCTGAGGAAGCCACAGAAACATCATGAGAGTTGAAGCAACACGCGTGTTTCCTCGCATGGTAGGCTGAGGACACGTCACCACCTGGCTGGGACTGTGGCCAAAAATACTGAACTTGAATCTTGCATAAGGAAACGATCAGATAAATCTATGGGGCACCTGGGTGGCTTAGTCAGTTAAGCGTCAGACTTCGGCCCAGGTCATGATCTCATGGTTCATGGGCTCGAGCCCCATATCGGGCTCTGTGCTGACAGCTAGCTCAGAGCCTGGAGCCTGTTTCAGAGTCTGTGTCTCCGTCTCTCTCTGACACTCCCCTGCTCACGCTGTCTGTCTGTCTCTCTCTCAGAAATAAATTAAAAAAAAAAAAATCTAAACTGAGGGACATTCTGCAGAACAACAGGTCTGAGCTCTTCCAAAATATCAGTGTCAGGGATGCCTGGGTGGCTCAGTAGGTTAAACATCCAACTTCGGCTCAGGTCATGATCTCATTTCATGAGTTCAAGCCCCATGTTGGGCTCTGTGCTGACAGCGCACAGCCTGGAGCCTGCTTTGGGTTCTGTGTCTCCTCTCTCTGCCCCTCCCCAACTTGCACTGTCTCTCTCTCTCTCAAAAATGAAAACATGTTAAAAAAAAAAGTCAATGTCAAAAAAGAGACTTCTTAAAATGCTTCATCTGTTCAAGATTTGAAAGGGCCAAAGAGACATGACAGCCATGTATAATGTATGATCCCTGATGGGATCCTGAATTTTCCTGACCTCTGAGGGGGATGGGGGTAGAGGCTATTACTGCAATGATCAGGGAGATCTGAATACAGGGTATATAAAAGATAATACTATTCCCTCATTCCCTCAATATTTAATTTCTTAGGCATGATGGGTTAAGTAAAGGAACGCTCTTGTTCCTGGGAGAAAGATACACGTTTAAAGACTTGGTACAAGACATTGGTAACCAACTCTCAAAAGTTCAGGAAAAGCAAATACCTGTGAGTGTGTGTGAAAGGGGCAGAGAAAGAAAGGAAGAAAGGAGGAGAGAGAACAAATGGTAACAGGTGGTAAACTCAGGCGGGAGTGTTGCAATTTACAATAACCTTGTAACTTTCCTGAAATTGTTACATCTGGAAATAACAGTGTGGGATAACAAAGCAATTCCTGCCTGGGGAGAAAGCCAGGTCTTCCCCAGACATCAGACCCTCTCATTTTTAGGCCACCTGGCCCTCAGACCACTCTGAACCACGCAAGTGCATGAATGACTAAGACAAGTGACCTGCTCACAAATTCCAGAAGCCCGGGTTGTCCGCTTCTTCACTTTCAGCCGAAAATAAAACACATGTTTCGTAAGAAAAAAAAAGGCCAAAGCATTCACTAGACGCTTGTCCTGGGCGTTCGAGGGGAAATGGAAGTGGCCATCAGCTGAGCTTCTGGAGAGCCACAACCTGTTCAGCCTTACCTGATGACAGGTCATAGAGCGCAGTGACGGAGGTGATGAGCTGGCAGCAGAAGCGAGGGCTGGCACTGAAGATCTGCTTCAGCGTCTGCACGGATCCTGGCACCAGGCAGCAGTAGTCGTCCACCAGGGCCCTGGCCAACCTCACGCAGTACACCACTGGCGTCCGCTGCAAAGAAGCCACAGGCCACATAAACACGTGTTGTGGCTGGGAGGCTACAACTACGTACTTAAGGGGAAGACACACACCCCCCCCCCCCAGAACAGGCAGATTCACCTCCCAGAGGGGACAAAGATGTGCACAGCTCATTCTGAGGCAGGGCTTGGCCAACGAAAGCCCACAGGCCCAAGCCATCCTGCCCCCAGGGTTCTTTCATGTGCTTTCTGTGAATCAGAAGCGTGTATCTGCTAATCTGCGTGCCTGTCGAGTAAGGCTGGTCCAACACTACCAGGACAGAGTTGAGTGGTTGTGAAATAGGCCATACAGTTTGCAGAGCCTCACATATTTCCTGTCTTGCCCTTTAATAAAAGGCCTGCTGACCCCTGCTTTGAAGTGCAGTTAGCAAAGCTCTCTGCGGACTTCAAGGAGGATATGACAACTTGTGGGGCCTTACAGGTGAGACTCCAAAAACAGGAACAAATGGGGGCTACCACCCGGAAGAGCTTGAGGAGAGTCTGTGAGCTATCACAGGATTCAGAGCAGTGCTTTCTCCCTTTCTCTTACAATCCTATCCTTTTTTTTTTTTCTTAACGTTTATTTTTATTATTGAAAGATAGAGAGACAGAGCATGAGCAGGGGAGAGGTAGAGAGTGAGGGAGACACAGAATCTGAAGCAGGCTCCAGGCTCTGAGCTGTTAGTACAGAGCCTCATGCGGGGCTCAAACTCACAAACAGAGATCATGACCTGAGCCGAAGTCAGATGCTTAACCGACTGAGCTCCCCAGGCGCCCCTCTTACAATCCTATCCTTAGAGGTTTCCGTGATTCTTTCAAATCCTGTATTACCATCCTCTGCTTTTTCCTTCCCACTCAGAGGCCGATGTGCAGCCAGGGCCACATTCAACAGCTGCTCAGCAAGTTCTAGTTCCAAAGGCCCCAATGTGGCCTCCAGGGGAAACTGCAAGTAGAGAGCTTGCCAGATTGTTCCCTCAGGCTGAATTTTGTCCCTACAACCTCAGACCAGCCAACCCCAGCTTCCCTAGCAGGGAGTGGTAGCCACTAGCCCTGGGGGTGGGGGTGAGGGGTTGGGGGTGGGGTGGCAATCCTTGACAAGACTCTTCCCTGTCACTGACATCTGCTTTTATTTTGCCAAAAAGCCAGCACAACAGCATCAGGAGAGGTAAGGGGGGAAATTATGTGATGAATTACAAGAGGCTAAGCCTGACCTCACTAAGGGATAGAGGTAATTGTGAGATTAAATACAGCACACACAATCAGGTCAGATTCTCCAGAAGTCAGATTGGTAAGAATTAATGTATAGATTCTGCTGAAGCTTACCTGGGTGCTACAGAGAACAATGTATATTTTTCAAACCAAATTATGAGGATAAACAGTTTTTTTTTAATTTTTAAATGTTTATTTATTGAGGTAGAGAAACAGCATGAGTGTGGGAGGGGCAGAGAGTGGGAGACACAGAATGTGAAGCAGGCTCCAGGCCCTGAGCTGCCAGCCCAGAGCCTGACACGGGGCTCGAACCCACAAACTGTGAGATCATGACCTGAACTGAAGTTGGATGCTTAACCGACTGAGCCACCCCGGCACCCCGAGGATAAACAGATTTCAAAGGAAACATCTACATAAACTGGGGAAGGGGGAATAACCGCAAATGATTTCAAGTACTTGAGATTAAGCAGGTCTGTGAAACTGAATGTGGTAAAGTCTGTTAGCTTAATAGAGAATCATGTTAATCAAAAATCTGATAAATAATTACTCTAGGGGCACCTGGGTGGCTTAGTTGGTTAAATATCTGACTTTGGCTCTCGTCATGATCTCATGGTCATGGGTTCGAGCTCCTCATTGGGCTCTGTGCTGACAGCTCAGGGCCTGGAACCTGCTTTGGATTCTGTGTCTCCCTCTCCCTCTGCCCCTTCCTGGCTTGTGCTCTCTCAAAAAATAAATAAATGTTAAAAAAAATTTAATATAATTACTCTAAGTAGATTATCAATTTCTGAAAGACTCTGAGTAATAAAGCAAACCAAAATGAATCTTTCAGAGTACCATCTAACACAAAACCTATTGTAAATATACATTTTTTCCCTCTGATATTTAAAAATGACTATGGGGGGGGGGGCGCCTGGGTGGCTCAGTTAAGTGTCTGACTTCAGTTCAGGTCATGATCTCACGGTTGGTGGGTTCGAGCCCCGCAACCGGTTCTGCTCTGACAGCTAGTTCAGAGCCTGGAGCGTTTCAGATTTTGTATCTCCCTCTCTCTCTGACCCTCCCCTGTTCATGCTCTCTCTCTCTCTCTCAGAAATAAATAAAACACTTAAAAAAAATTTTTTTTAATGGCTGTTCGGTCCACATCCATTGGAAGAGCCACCATCTTTGCAATGTCACCCTGGAGCAATGCAAAAGAATTCACATGCTTACTGACCCAACTGCATAATTTAACTTCTAACGATCTTTAAACAGACAAAAAAAAATCATATCTTGGAGGCTACACGGGTAGCTGTTTTCAGAATACTAACTTACCATTTTCAACTAAGGAAAATGATTTTTCACATATTCTGAAGATGGAACTTTTTTTCTTTTTAAATTCATTCACCATTCCAAACTATTGTTTTCTCAAGAATGATTACTACTACCTGTCTATAAATATAGACACCAGGGTAATGACACCAAGAAGGTAACATACAGAAAACGCCTCTCCTGAAAGCCAATCAAGGGAAAATTCCTGACACTAAAACCCTCTTCAGAGGCTCTCAGGAGAAGGCTCTTTCTAGAGAAGTACCTGGAGCCAGGAGGCTGCACACTCCAACACTGGGATCCGACACACAGCCACCGCCATGGAGACCAGTTTTCCCAACAAGCTCATCCGGTTGTCATCAGCCTTGTTCCCTTGGGGGCTGAAAAGGGATGAGAAAATAATCTGCCGGACAGAGTCCTTGGTTTGCTCCTGGAAATAATTGCACATGATTTCAAGAAGTTGGAGCTCCTGAAGTGAATTCAACCTCTGTAAAACAAATCCAAGAGAAACGATAAAAAAGAAAGAAAAGAAAAGAAAGAAAGAAAGAAGGAAAGAAAGATACTTTAACAGACGCCTTAATTCGTAGAGTGACAAGACAGAAAATACACTACTTCCCCCAGGTAACTGTTCACCCCTCTTAAAGGCCGGGTCCCAGGGGGCAGAACTCTGTTAATCCCGGGAAACGTCACTATACAGATGCAGACATCATCCTGGGCGGACTCAAGATGACCTATAGCGGTTTGAGACTCTAGGTTACAGGCCTTTAACGTCTCTTCCTGTAACACCACTGACACCGGGCTGTCGCACGCCCCGCAAAACACGCACACAGCTGAGCAATGCTCAGGACGCCAGAGAAGGCGGATCTGGGCTGCTGAGAAGGAGCACGGCCAAGGGCGAGAACAGAGGCTGGGAGAGCAAGCGGGTCTGTGGTTTGGCAAATGCTTGCCACCGCAAGAGGAGGAAAAGGAGTTTCCTTGTCGCGGACGCGGGCATCCCGGCCGACCGCCGCACCTTGGGCTGCGCGCCGCGCTCCTTGGGCACCTGGAACACGAACTCCTCGAGCAGCTCCACGGGGCCCTTGTCCACGATGGGCAGCGGCGCGCTCTGCAGCTGGCTGCTGAAGTAGATGTCCAGGTGGTACAGCACCTCCTTGGCGGCGCTCAGCGCGTCGCGGCGCAGCAGCGAGTGGCGGATGTCGCTCATGGTGCGGCCGCTGCGGCCCGGGGCGTCCGGAGGGCGTCCGCACTTCCGCCCCGGGCCCCGCAGGCGCGCCCGCCGCCGCCGAGACAAAGAGACCGCGACCCGGTCTCTGCCCGCCGCCCCCGGCGCCCGCCCTCCCGCCGCTCCCGCCCCGTCCTGCTCAGGGAGCCATCGCCGCCGCCGGCCAGCAGAGGCTCGGCCGTGCGACTGCGGCGCCACCGAGGGCAGCGGGAGCCCGACGCCTCGGAGTGAACGGCGGCGGAATGCCGAGCGCGGCGACGGCGGCCCGCAGGGGCCAAGCGCGGGCCGCGGCGGGGGCCCGCTCTCGGGAGGGCGCCCCCTGGCGGCTCGGCCGGCTGGCACTGAGGTACGCCCCGCCCCTCAGGCCCCGCCCCCGCGGCGCGCCACCGCCTGTGAGTACGGCAGGGGCGCGCTGCGCCGCCGCACCCACCGCTGAACGCTCATAGGGCTTTGCGCTCCACTCGCCCGCGCGCCAGACCTGAAGCTCCCCTTGCTTCCTTTGCGCTGCGCTCAAAGCCTATTTGATTTGGCTTTACCGCGCTTTCCCACCTGTAAGATAGGCTGGTGCACAGGACTGTAGCTCAGGCCTTGGCAGTTCATTCTAAAGATTATAGCTACTCCAGAACTCGTGGCGCTGCAGTGACGTATGGTACCTCCTTACCCCTGGCCTCCAAGTTTTTGTCCCGAGTCCCTATTCCCCAGTCCCCTCCGGAGCAGCCTGACCATGGGAATCTTAGGTATCCTGCTCCTGAAAACGCTCCCCTCCTCAAACCCCTCAGCACTTTCTATGAAACTCTTCCTCATTCATCCCTTTGCATTGAATTAACGGGGCAGTGGAGGGGTGGGGTGATAGTTTGGAATTTTAAAAATAGGACGGGGTGGCTCAGTCAGGCTCAGAGCTGTGTTGACAGCTCAGAGCCTGAAGCCTGCTTGGCACTGTCTCCCTCTCTCTGCCCCTCCCCCACTTGCACGCGCTCTCATTCTCTCTCTCAAAAATAAACATTAAAAAATATTTTTTTAATAGGGCAGAAAAAACTTGAACGTGGCCCCAAGAGGCCAGTGGAGGGCAGGGGACCACAAGCACAGGAATGGGCCTTGTGTAAAAGGCCCATGCTGGCCCAGGGGCAGGCCTGGGTGAGAGGTGCTGGATATGGTCAAGGAGACGAAAAGCCAAAGCCTTTCCCTCGGAGAGACGGGAAGGGTGCAGCCTGGCACAACCCCCGGTCACTGGGACTCTCCTGCACATCTGGGGACATAGCCAAGGCCCCTCCTGTCAGAAGTCTAGAGCCGAAGGTGAAAGCCCAATGTCAGTTGGATCCTCTGAGAAGGCATCTTGGGTCGCTTGGGCACCAGGACCTCATATACACTCTGTTACAACAGGCTAAGTGAACAGAGGATGAGCAAGGGGGCTTTCTACCACAGCACCTAGCATAGCACCTGTAAGGATTAGGCACTCAGTGAACACTAGTTTTCTCATCCCTTCCTTAAGCACTTAAAGCCAACTTATAAACATGCACCAGAATCCAGAAGAGAAAAAAACACAACAAAAAACCAAAATGAAGAAACACCACACTAATGTTTCGAAGTATCTAGATGTATAAATAAACGTATACTATATTGAAAAGGCAGTAACACTTCACATTCTCAGTTCATCTTCTTGGCACCATGTGCAGTGGCAGGTAGGAAGAGCTCTCCAAGGTTGCTCCAAAGCCCATGGGAGTGAATGTTCCGGTAGACCTGGGGCGCTGCTGATGGGGGCCAGGCTCCGTGGGGGCAATGCCGGCACCAGGCCCGGTCACCTCTGTACCACTCGTTAGTGGTCTGGTTGGTGGCAGCCAGGTACAAAGTGAAGCACAGGTAGCCACCCAGGAGGAAGCTCAGCATCACGACAAAGCCCAGCATGAAGACAATCCTTGGCAAGGTCAGAAACAGGTACTGGGGACAGAGAAGAGACAGCAAGTTAGGCAGCTAGGCTGCGACACAAGTAAGGGTCAGCACCCACGAGCCCTGGCCTGGTCTGCACACATGTGAGTGCTGCCGCTCCAGCTCAGCCACCTCCACGCACACCTGACCCGCTGAAAACCAAACGAGCAGCCCCAGAAGCAGTCCTAGTGTGCAGGAGTTTACTATGGGATAAATGAAATACACACACTGAAGGAAAAGGATATTATGCCAGTTAGCTCCTTGTAAACCAAAGAAGTAAATACAGAGCTTAGTTCGTGCATCAGAATACAAATCCAGACGGACAGAGGCGATCCATCTCTCTAAGCAATATGGCCACAGAAACACACGTACAGGAGTATTCACTGTAGTGGTTTGACGGACCCTCTTCCGAAAAGAGGCAGTCCATCCGTGAGAAAAAGTAAAATCCTGGGATAATCAAACTATGGTATCATAAGGAGCCAGTAAAAATGTGGCCAATTTTGAGGTACTGGTTTGGGAAAGACATTGGTAAAATATTGCCGGATGAGAAAGACAAGAGGCAAGGATCCAAACGGGATCATATTCGTGTAGAAACAAAACCACACTCCATGAAGGTGTGTAACCATATCGATAACCACAGGAGAAGCCTATTATGTATGCACCAAACTACAACAGTGGTTGCCTGTAGGTGGTGAGCTGTTGGGAGGGGCAGGACAGAATCCCCAGTTCTGAATTTTTTAAAAAAAAGATGCATTTAAATTTCACGTGTTTCCCCCAGCTTTATTGAGACATGACACTGTGAAACTTTAAGGTGCGCAACGTGACACATAGCAAATGATCACAACAAGGCTAGTTAACATGTCCATTACCACAGTTACAATTGTTTTTTCTTGTGATGATGACTCTCTTGGCAACTTTCAAGTATACAACACAGTATTGTGAGCTACAGTCCCCACGCTGTTCATGACAGTCCCAGGATTTATTCATGTTTCAACTGGAAGTCTGTGCCTTTGACCCCCTTTCCCCACTTCTCTCCTTTTCATTTTAAGCACTTCTGAACTGCTTGAATTTTTAGAGGTAATTTTTTAGAATAAAGAAAATGAATTTTGACAGTATTCAACATCTTTGAAAGGCAGGGGTAAGAGAAGCACGTGCATCAAAACTCTTGACAGAAGAGACCTTCTAACTGAAGTTACAAACAAAAGAGACAGAGCTGATGAGAAAGGATGTCTAAATTTTGTTTTTATAAAAAAGAAGATACACAAATAGAAAACAAATAGAAAAATGAACTATCATTATTATATGATCTCAAATCCAAAGTAATTTTAGTGTCAAGTAGATCAACAGTTAAAGGACACGATTCACAAAAGAAGATATACAAATGACTGACAAACAAGGAAAGTAATCAAAAGTAATGAAAGAAATACAAGTTTTTTTAAAAGGGCACATCGTGTGTTCCTATCACTATAGCAGCACCTGCCACCAGCAGGCACCCTCAGGGCCTGCCCTGACACAACAAAATGAGCCCTTGCCAATCACTCTAAGCATATGGTTTTATTTATTTTTTTAATGTTATTTATTTAGAGAAATAGAATGAGCACACAGAGGAGGGACAGAGAGAAGGGGAGAGAGAGAATCCCAAGCAGGCTCTGCGCCACCAGCACAGAGCCTGACATGGGGGCTCGATATCACAAACCATGAGATCATGACCTGAGAAGAAACCAAGAGTTGGACGCTAAACGGACTGAGCCACCAGGCGCTCCTAAGCACAAGGTTTCAAAAAGCAACTTCATGATATATATTAAAATCAAAAGGTTTATAAATATTGATAATCTTTGACTCTGTATCTACACTTTTTGGAAGCTATCCTACAGAAAGTCCTAACTACAGAAACGAAACCGTATACACTGATTACCTACTGCAAAGGGGAAAATGCACTTCACCAACGGAGGGAGCTGGTGGGCACCACCTGAAACAATAGATCAGTGAATGGCCGCAACATGAACACACATTCCTGCCTGGGAAGCATTTTTGCCAAAAATGTTTAACCTGAATCTGATTGAGGCTCTAGAACTTCCAGTTCACATTAATATGAAAGAACAGAGAGAAATTAGTTGACACAAGTAGGAAAAAGACAAATTTAGACCAAGGGACATTCTAAAAGACAACTAAACTACTAAATGTCAATTTCATGGGGAAAAAAACGAACAACAAGAGGCATTATTTTAATGTTTTTTTTTTTGTTTTGTTTTGTTTTTTATTTATTTCTAGGGGGGAGAGAGAGAGAGAGAGAGAGCGTGTGCAGGGGAGGGTCAGAGAGAGAGGGAGACACAGAATCTGAAACAGGCTCCAGGCTCTGAGCTGGCTGTCAGCACAGAGCCCGATGCGGGGCTCGAACCCACAAACCGTGAGATCATGACCTAAGCGAAAGTTGGACGCTTAACTGACTAAGCCACCCAGGCGCCCCCAAGAGGCATTATTTTAGACTAGGAGACTAAAAAAGACATGGCATTCAAATGCAAAGCCTAACTATAAGGTGGATTCTGCTTCAAGGAGGCAAAAGAGCTATAAAAGACATATTTGAAACAACAGGGAAATATAAATATGGACTAGATTATATATTACATATTTACTATAACAGAATTGTACTTATGTAGGAGGTGGACATTCTGTAAAAATGCATGTTCAAGGGGTATCTGGGTGGCTCAGTAGGTTGAATGTCTCTTGATTTCAGCTCAGGTCATAATCCCATGGTTGTGGGATCAAGCCCTGCATCAGGCTCTGCGCAGAGTGTGGGGCCTGCTTAGAATTCTCCCTCTCCCTCCCCCTCCCTCTTCCCTGCTCCCATTCTCTCTCTCTCCAAAAAAAAAAAAAAAAAAGGGGAGGGGGTGCCTGGGTGGCTCAGTTGGTTAAGCATTTGACTTCAGCTCAAGTCATGATCTCGTGGTCCATGAGTTCGAACCCTGCTTCAGGCTTTGTGCTGACAGCTCAGAGCCTGGAGCTGCTTCAGATTCTGTGTCTCTGTCTCTCTCTGCTCCCTTCTGCTGTGCTCTGTCTCTGAAAAAAAACAAACAACACCCCCCCTCAAAAAACGGATAAAAATTAAAAAGAATAAGAAAACTTTAAAAGTACATGTTCAAGTATTTAGGGGTGAAGCAACATAATGTCTCCAATTTATGTCTAATAACGCAGAAAAATATAAGGGGCGCTTGGGTGGCTCAGTCAGTTGGGTGCTGACTTTTTGCATGGATTTCAAGGAAGCTGCACTAAGTGAAAAAGATACTATGTGATTCCATTTATGTAACAATCATGAAATAACATAATAATAGAGATGGAGAACAGAGTAGCAGTGCCAGGCATGAGGGATGAGGCTGTGGCTGTTAAGAAGTAACACTGAGGGAGTCTGTGGTGAATGACAGAACATGCTGCCTAGAGTGGTGGTTATCCATGCACACACATGCAACAAATTATACAGAGCTACACAGATATACACACAACACACAAATGAACATATATGTAAGTGGTGGAATCTGAATCAGCTCTGTGGATTGTGCCACGGTCAACTGTTTGGTTTTGGCATTGGGCTGTGGTTTCTGGCATGGGGGGAGGGGCTGGCATGCGGGGGCAGACTTAAGAGCTCGTAGGCTCATTTCTTTGTAACCCCTATAAATCTACAGTTATTTCAAAATAAATGTAAAAACATACTAGCTTTGGACTGTGTATTTTATATTAAGACAGTCTCCTTCCATTTCTATTTTCTGAGTGCTTTCATTAGAATGGCTGCTGAATTCTGTGAAACAGTTTTCAGCATCAAGAGAAATAACCATGTGGGATGCCTGGGTGGCTTAGCTGGTTAAGCGTCTGACTTCAGCTCAGGACATGATCTCATGGTTTGTGAGTTCGAGCTCCACATCAGGCTCTGTGTTGACAGTTTGGAGCCTGGAGCCTGCTTTGGATTCTGTGTCTCCATCTCTCTCTGTTCCTCCCCCGCTCACACTGACTCTCTCTCTCAACAATAAACATTTAAAAAAAGAGAGAGAAATGACCATGCTATTGTTCTTTGTATTTCATAATGCCATATAAAATACTAATCAATTTCCTACCATTGAACCAACCTTGCATTCATGGAATATATCCCACTTGTTCATAGCATTTTATTTTCTTTGAGACAAAAGAAAAAAAAAACCAAGAATTAACCAGTTACCTAAAACAGTGACTGTTCACAAGCTACTTCCCATAAATGTAGTACAAATCTTTTGGCCATCAAATGAGTTTTTAAAAGAATGTTTCATTATTGTAAATTAACTTTTGACAGAGCACCAAAACAATTCAATGAGCAAAGAACAGTGTTTTCAAAAAAAAAAAAAAAAAGATGCTAGGACAACTGGATATCTACCTACTAAAAGTGTGAAGCTGGAACCCTACCCTACAGCACGTACAAAATTTAACTCAAAATTGCCAAAGACCTAACCTCTAAGAGCAAAAATTACAAAAACACAAATGTCCAGAATATGAATAGAATTCTTGTAACACAAGACTGAAAGATAACTCAATTTAAATATCAGCCTCTCAGGGCGCCTGGGTGACTCAGTCAGTAGAGGGTCCGGCTTTGGCTCAGGTCATGATCTCACCACTTGTGAGTTTGAGTCCCGCATCGGGTTCTGTGCTGACAGATCGCAGCTCAAGGCCTGGAGCCTGCTTTGGATTCTGTGTCTGTCTCTCTGTCCCTCCTTGCTCAAGCTCTGTCTCTGTTTCTCTCTTTCTTTCTCAAATATAAATAAAAGCATTAAAAAAGAAAATTATATAAAAAAACCCACGAGCTTCTCCTCTAAATCTTCTTGTCCAAAGAAGATACACAAATGTCCAGTAAGTACACACAAAGTTGCTCAACATCATTAAGTCATCAGGGAAATGCATATCAAACCGCCATAAGGTACCACTTCGTGCCCCTACAGAGGGCTCTAATCAAAAAGACAAGTAATAACAGTTGTAGGCGAGGCCAGAGGAAGGCGGAACCTCCTCACATTGCTGGTCGAAATGTAAAAGGATCAAGATGCTTTGGAAAATAATCTGGCAGCTCCACAAATGATTACGAATAGAGCCACTGTAGGACCCAGCGATTGTTCTCCTGGGTGGAACTCAAGAGAAACGAAAACACAAAAACTGGTACCCAGATGTTCAGGGCAACATTATTCAAAAATAACCAGAAAGTGAAAACACTCAAACATCCATAACTGTTACATGAAACGGAACATCTTTCAGCCATAAAAGGGGCGAAGTACTGACCCATGCGACAACTTGGAGGAACCCTGGACACATTGTGCTAAGAAAAAGAAGCCAGCCCAAAAGGCAGACGATGTGTTATGGGAAATGTCCAGAAAAGAAAACTCCATAAAGACAGAAGGCACACTAGCCGTTGCCATGGGGCCAGGGAAGAGGGGGAAAAGAATGACCGCTAATCAGTAAGAGTTTCTTTTCGGGATGATGCAATTTCTGAAATTAGATGGTAGTGGTGGGCTATATAACTCTAAAACACTGGGCTATATAGTTTAAAAGGATGAATTCTGGGGCATCTCAGTGGCTCTGAGGTGCATCTGGCTTGATTTGGGCTCAGGTCATGATCTCAGGGTTTGTGAGATTCGACCCTGTGCTGAGCTCTGCACTGACAACACTGACCTTCCTTGGGATTCTCTCTCTCCCTCTCTCTCTGCCCCTCCCCTACTTGAGCTCTCTCTTTCAAAATAAATAAACATGAAAAATAAAATAAAATAAAATAAAATAAAATAAAATAAAATGATGAATTTCAGGGGCACCTGGCTGGCTCCATCAGAAGAGCATGCAAGTCTTCACCTCGGTGTAGAGGTTACTAAAAAAAACCCAACAACCTAAAAAGGATAAATTTTACAGCATATGTACTATTATCAATGAAAAAATTATATAGTCTCTTAAAAAAATTTTTTAAGTTTATTATTTTGAGAAAGAGACAGCGCAGGGGAGGAGCACAGAGAGAGGGGGAGAGGGAGAATTCCAAGCAGCCTCTGCACTGTCAGCACAGAGCCCAATGCGGGGCTTGAACTCGTGAACCATGAGATCATGACCTGAGCTGAAACCCTGAGTCAGACACTTAACTGACTGAGCCACCTGAGCACCCCATATTCATTTTTTTTTTTTAATTTTTTTGTTTTATTTATTTCTAGGAGAGAGAAACAGCCTGAGCAGGGGAGGGTCAGAGAGAGAGGGAGGCACAGAATCTGAAACAGGCTCCAGGCTCTGAGCTGGCAATCAGCACAGAGCCTGACGCGGGGCTCGAACCCACGAACCGCGAGATCATAACCTAAGCGAAAGTCGGACGCTTAACCGACTAAGCCACCCAGGCGCCCCCCCATATTCATTTTTTAAAAAGGAATGGCTTAATCTCTTGACTGGGAAAATAAATGTCCTTTTTCCAACGTTGAATCCTAAAGTCAAAAACATACATCCCACAACATAACTCCCTGAATATTAATTACCTGAATGAGAAAGACAATGTCAACAACCTGCAAGTGTCCAAGGTCATCAACGTAAGTCTCCAGATACAAGTCTGACAATGCCACCAACTGGACCAGAAACACAGTGCTCACAGTGGCCATGGTGGCAGCTGAGGCTGTCAACGTCAAGAGGTAGATGAGGAAGTACCTGGCGTTCCAGGCCCCAATGCAGTTGTTCACCCAAACACAGTGATGGTCAAAACGGTGCACACACCTGTTACACACTCCTGCACAGAAAAGGGAAAGTCATGCCCTGCGTTAGTCCTTGAAGAAACGAGACTGTACTCACCTACTGAGATTTTTCCAAACTCACTCCTGGCAGTAGGTGCTGGAGGGAATGGCGGCTGCTATCACCAAGCTATTAGAAGTGTGGTGTCCAGCACAGGAGCCGCGAGCCACATGGGGGACTGAGCACTTAAAATGTGGCCACGAGAAAAACTTGAAAGAATACTCTGTTGATTTTGCTAAATTTCAAGTTGCTTTTCAATTTATGCAATGTTCCTTGAAGTTCAATGTGAGCAATGCTGAGATGACATAAGGGTTAGTCAATTTACTTAACTTGAAAAGACCTAATTTTGAAACCGAAGCTTTTAAAAAAAAATTTTTTTTAATGTTTATTTTATTTTTGAGACAGAGAGACAGAGCGTGAACTGGGGAGGGGCAGAGAAAGAGGGAGACACAGTCCAAAGCAGGCTCCAGGCTCTGAGCTGTCAGCATAGAGCACAACACGGGGCCCAAACTCACAGACTATGAGATCATGACCTGAACCAAAGTCAGACACTTAACCAACTGAGCCATGCAGGTGCCCCAAAACCAATGTTTTAAAGTCAAATTAATTCTTCTGATAAAGATGAATCATTATGTGACTATTAAAGGAAAATGATTATGTTATGGAAAACCTTTTAAAAATTTCTGGATTAACTTGGGTATGTGAATCTGCTCTTTCAACTGCAAATTTTAAGAAATCTAAAAACAGATCAAGAATTTCCAATGAAAATTTAGTGTCTCAATTGAGCTGTGCTGTGAATGTAAAATACATACAAAATTTCAAAGACTTAGTATGAGAAAGATAATATAAACTAACCCATGAATGATTTTTTTTATATTGACTACACGTTAAAACGTTTTTTAGGGGTGGACCTGGGTGGCTCAGCGGGGAGAGAGTCCGACTTCTGATTTCAGCTCAGGTCACCATCTCAAAGTTTCTGAGCTCAAGCCCCGCTGTGGGCTCTGTGCTGTCAGCATGGAGCCTGCTTGGAATTCTCTCTCTCCCCTTCTCTGTCTGCCCCTCCCCCGTTCACTGTCTCAAAATAAGTAAACTTAAAAAAAAAAAAGCTCTTGAAACACCACGATATTTTAAACAGTTTATGTTAAATGAATATATAATTAAATTTAACATTGCCTCATCTTATTTTTGTCATATGGCTACTAGTAAATTTAAATCACACATGTAGCTCACATTATATTCTTGTTGGGTAGCACTAGTCTAGAATCTTGGCTGCTCCCCAGAAGAGTAAGCTCTGCGGCCACTGGAATCTGCAAACGCAACATCCCACAGACACTTCTGATGGGCAACAAGCTCCACACAAGACAGAGGAAGGGCCGTTATGCCCCGGAGTGGGGTGTCCACAATGTAAGAACAGTGACACTGCACCTCCAGGCACCTGAAAGAAACTACTCTCTAGCCTCTACAAGCAGTGGCTGCCCATGCCTGTGAGACAAATGGCCCTGGTTTTAGATTTCTGGAACCTTCCCTCACTAAACCCACGTGTCTATTATACAAGAGTAGCGAGGTAGCAACCAGAGCCGAACTTACTGCAGTGCTTGGACCGGGCTGGCCGCCTCACGTTGCAAGTGAAGCACTTCGTGTTCTTTGGGAACACCACGTCATCAAACTCATAAACTTGAAGAAACAAGAACTCGTTTGCTTTTGTTATGGTGCCTAAAAAAAGGACAAACATCATTTTCAAGCGATATAGTGGACTGGACGTTCACAAAATCTGTCCTGACAAAGTGCAACTAAAACTTATATATTTACTATTCTAAATAACTCATTTTTATTTCTTTTATGTCTTTATTTTGAGAGACAGAGACAGAGAGCGAGCGGAGGAGGGGCAGAGAGAGAGGAGGACAAAAAAATCCTCTGAGCTGTAAGCACAGAGCCCGATGCGGGGCTTAAACCCATGGACTGTGAGATCATGACCTGAGCCCAAGTCGGACGCCCAACCAACTGAGCCACCCAGGTGCCCCTAAATAACTCATTTTAAAATAAAGTGTTGGGGCGCCTGAATGGCTCAGTCAGTTAAGCACCCGACTCTTGATTTAGGTTCAGGTCTCATGGTTCATGGGTCCGAGCCCACTGTGGGGCTCTGCATTGACAGTGGGGCGCCCGCTTGGGATTCTTTCTCTCCTTCTCTCTCTGCCCCTCCTCCTCACACTCTCTCAAAATAAATAAACTTAAAAATTTTTTTAAATACATTTTTATTGAGATACAATTCGTGAGCCCTATTCGCCAATTTAAAGTGCACAATATGACTTTAGTACGTTCACAGAGTTATGCCACCATCGCCACAACCAAGTTTAGAATGATTTTATCACTTCAAAAAGAAACCTGTTAGCAGTTGCTCCACATTTCTCTTAATCCCAGCCCCTGGCAATCACTAGTCTACTTCCTGTCTCTATGCATTTGCCTTTTTGGATATTTCATATGAATGGAATCATACAATTTGTGATCTTTTGTATCTCACTTCTTTTTCTTTTTTTAAGTTTTATTTATTTTGAGCAGAGAGAGCACACGCACGAATGTGCAGGAGAGAGGCAGAGAGAGAGAGAGAATCCTAGGTAGGCTCTGCTGTCAGTGCAGAGCGCCATGCAGGGGTCAAACTCACGAACTGTGAGATCATGACCTGAGTTGAAATCAAGAGTCAGACACTTAACCAACTGAGCTGCCCAGGAGCTCCTCTGGCTTCTTTCATTTAGTATAGTTTTTCAAGGTTCATCTATGTTTTAGCACATATCACTCCCTGGTTCCTTCCTGTTGCTGAATGCTGCTTCATCGAATAGGCACGCCACAGTTTACCTATTTATCAGCTGATGGACACTTGGTGCCTCAAGGATATAAAGGCTTAAAAGTAAAGGTATGGAGGGGCACCTGGGTGGCTTAGTCGGTTGAGCGTCCGACTTTTGCTTAGGTCATGATCTCGCGGTTCGTGGGCTCGAGCCCCGCGTCAGGCTCTGTGCTGCCAGCTCGGAGCCTGAAGCCTGTTTCAGAGTCTGTATCTCCCTCTGTCTCTGACCCTCCCCTGCTCACGCTGTCTCTCTCTCTCTCCTAGAAATAAAATAAAAATACTTTAAAAAAAAAAAAAAAAAGGAAAGGTATGGAAGGGCATCTGGGTGGTTCAGTCAGCTGAGCATCCAACTTCTACTCAGGTCATGATCTCCCCATCTGTGAGTTTAAGCACTGCATCAGGCTCTTTGCTGAGAGCTCAGAGCCTGGAGCCTGCTTCAGATTCTGTGTCTCCCTCTCTCTCTGCCCCTCCCCCACTCTCCCATGCTTGCTCGCTCTCTCTCTCTCAAAAATAAACATTACAAAAAATTTTTTTTAAAGTAAAGGCATGGAAAAAAGATACCAAGCAAATATCGATAAAAAAAAAATGTTTAATACGCCAGTCAGAATAGCTGAAATGAACAAATCAGGAGACTGCTGATGCTGGTGAGGATGTAGAGACACAGGCATCCTCCTACACTGTTGGTGGGAATGTAAACTGGTGCAGCCCCTCTGAAAAAAAAGAGTAGAGATTCCTCAAAAAATTAACAATAGAACTCCCCTATGACCTAGCAATGGCACTGCTAAGAATTTACCCAAGGGATATAGGAGTCCTGATGCATAGGGGCACATGTCCCTCAATGTTCATAGCAGCACTTTCAACAATAGCCAGATCATAGAAAGATGCTAAATATCCATCAACAGAAGAATGGATCAAAATGTGGTTTATATATATAATGGGATACTACATGGCAATGAGAAAAAATAAAATGTGGCCATTTGTAGCAATGTGGGTGGAAATGGAGGGTGTTGTGCTGAGTGAAATAAGTCAGGCAGAGAAGGACAGATACCATATGTTTTCACTCATATGTGTGGATCAGGAGAAACTTAACAGAGGATCATGGGGGAGAGGAAGGGGAAAAATAGCTGGGGAAAGGGACGGAGGCAAACCATAAGAGACTCTTAAATACTGAGAAAAAACTGAGGGTTGATGGGGGATGAGGGAGAAGGGAAAATGGGTGACGGGCATGGAGAAGGGCACTTGTTGGGATGAGCACTGGGTGTTATAAGGAAATCAACTTGATAATAATCTATACTAAAACAAAGTGTAATAATATTAACATCACACAAAAGAGATTGAGAGCAAAGAGTGTTATTAGTGACAAAGAGACTAATTATATTTTGAAAAAAGACTCAATGCTAAGAGAATACAAATTCTTTTTTTAAAAAATATTTATTCATTTATGAGAGACAGAGTGTGAGCAGGGTAGGAGCAGAGAGAGAGGGAGACACAGAATCTGAAGCAGGCTCCAGGCTCTGAGCTGTCAGCAGAGCCCCACGCGGGGCTTGAACCACGAACCGTGAGATCATGACCTGAGCCGAATTCAGACACTCAACCAACTAAGCCGCTCAGGCACCCCAAGAGAATACAAATTCTAGACTTGAATGCATACAATACAAATATATATACATAACTATCATATACACGTACACACACATACACGTATATATGACATCTTCAAAATAAGTAAAGCAAAAACTGCAAGGAGAAATCTCAAAACTACCATCAGAATGAGATACCATGCCTCTGTCAGTAATTGGTCAAACGAAAATATTAGCATGAACATAAAAGACTGAACATAATTAACAAACTTGATCTAATGGATATATACACTGTCTGGACCTAAGAACTAGAAAACATACACTCTTTCAAGCACATACGGATCATTTACAACAACACGCAGCCGCCATAGTGCAAATTAGCAATAAACTTTTAAAAGAAACTGTGTCATAGGGACCACAAACTCTATAGAACACAATTATTAGTGAAGATATCAAAAAAGAAACTAAAAGAGCATGTGGAAAATTTTAAGCAGTTCTAAATAACCCACAGGTCAAAAAAGAAATAACTTAGAAAACAATCACAACTGAAAGATCAGGAGAACACTACGCAGCAACTCTTTTGCAAAGTCCCTGGAGGGAACACTGGTCTGTAGCACAGCAAGAAGGACAGCTGCGGGTCTCTGTAGTGAGAGCCTCAACTTACCAGGGTTGCTTACGCAGCTGAGCATGAAAAACACCAGGTTTATACCCAGCAGCAGATAGGGCAGGAGAAGATAACACAAGGAGAACCCGAGCTCTTGACAGTAGCCAAATATTTCCCAGGTGTATTCGGCATAAACCATCCCTTGCAAGAGAAGGTGCAGGATAACGAAGGTGTGATTTCTGAAAGGAAGCAGGCACATGGCTTGTTTTACAGGGCCTTGTCCACGATGAAATCATAGAGTACTACAGTTCAACCGGGGCCACTTCCTTTGGGCATGAGATAATAGCCAGAATTACATAACGGACAATGTGACACAGCTCTCACAGTGCCCAGCAGTAGCACACATGCAACACATGTTATCTATTACAATTATCGTCTTTGTTGGGAAGTGAGGTATCAGGATAGATTTGTTTTTACAGAAATGCATGTCCCAGTATCCCCACTCTTTAAACATTTTTGTCAAAACTCCAGAAACAAAAGGCAGGTTATCAGTGAGCAGAGGTCCTGAACCCAGGACTCTTGACCTTTCCAGCCCCCTTCACAGCTGGAAACCAACAAGAAGCTTCCTGAAGTTACAGGACAGCAACAGTTAGCAATCAAAACAGAAGAGAGGATAGTATATAAACTCTGAGATATAATACCGTGTGTGGAAGAGGTAATGAAGCAATTTTAGCATCGCTCTCTGAAGGCATTCTGGAATTATATGGGAAATTATCTAAAACAAAAGAGAAGGATTCAATTTCATATCTCACTCCCCCCACCAATCCCAAACAAATAAGATGCTTGACTTTCAGCCAGCAATACTGGTGATCTCGGGTTTCTGGACATGAGCAGAGAAGAGATTTAAGAGAGAATGAAAAGGAGGGCTTCCCTCAGCTGGTCTTCCTTTGATGCCAGCCCCTCCTTTTTCACCCTAGCTCCAAAGAAAGCTCTCCATGTCAGGGTCTTTGGGCAAAGGAAGGTGAGAAGAGGAACTGGATTAGGTAATGCCAATGTGAACTCCACTCCTTTCCCTGTCTTGGGATCAATCCTAGTTCCAGAGTCCACACCTGCAATCACGGGGCATTAGTGCCTTCCCAAAATGAACCCCTTCCAAAGGCTGCAGACCCCAGCTTGATCCCTGAAGGGGTGTGGGCAGCTTGATGCTCAGCTTTACTCATACAGCCCCCCGTTCTACTCAGCAGGCCCCTCCAGGCAGACATTGCTCACATCTGTGCCCAACTACAAGCATCAAACCCAGAGAAAAATAGCCAACCTCAACAATGTGGCCTTCTCTCAAAGCAACATTGCAAGGTTACTTTCCAAAGTAACAAAACAAACAAAAAACCCCAGAGACTTTCGAATATACCGTAACTGCCATAAATGAAAGAAGTGAACAAATGAATAAATATGGCATCTGTTTTTTGTTCCACTGGGGAATCGTTTAGCCCTTTACACTGGTGGTAGTCACAGTTCTGGGGTCTCCAAACATCAAGGTTACCTGGGCTGCTACTCCGACCAGGACTTTCAAGTAATGGGCTTTTGAGCAGACGCATATCGTAACAACACCAATCAGCACAAAAGCCACATAGAACAAGAAGAGAACAAGGAAGTCCATCCTGGGGCTAAAAAGAAACAGAAAAAGCGTCATTCTCAGATATCAACTCCCTAAATGGCTCCCCAAACAGAACTCATCAGCCCTTGAGCACACACTACCTCACACTGGGGCCTCCCAGATGGTCCAGAGTTCTCCTTGGAGAGTTTCCTAATCAAACTACTGTGATGTCTTTAGGGTATCTCTTGCCTGCAAATTCTAACATAAAGCAGGGGAGGGGGGAGAGATATGCCAAATGCATACACCTTCTATCCCACCAGCAGCAAATCATCTTTGATATTGCTCTTTGATAAACATTCACATAGATATTGATACAGAAAGTACCCCCAAATAATCTGCTGACAATGTTATTGGAACAAGCAAACCCTGGAGGCGGTCAGGGATCTGCTCCCACAGCAATCGGGAATAACCCGCGGGGACCAGAGTCAACACACAGGCCTATATTAACTGGAAATGGTTACTTTTGGCCTTAGCAGATAAGATTCGGGGCTGGACTTCAACTGAGATAAGCAAACTACAAACTATTCACGAGATAAGACACAGGAAACAAAGAGCAGCAATTCTCACGAGGTGATTCAGGGTCCCCAGCCTACATATTTCTGGTTTGGATAATTTTCAATCGGCAGCTCGGGCATTCCTCCTCCCAACTTTCACGGAGAATTCAAACAGCATCTCTCCTGAGCAGCAGCGTGCGCCTGGCACAACAGGTGGCACCCAGGGCTGCAGGAGGCATGGTTCTTCTAGAAGGCTGGATCTGGCTGCAGAGACATCGATAAAACACTCACATCATAAAACAGAGTGGGAGTCAGGAGCGGTAGAAATTGTGGGAAATAATTGGAAAGTCGGGGGGGGGGGTGTTGAGATACCGCAGGGTGAATGGCGTTATACGACTTCAGGAGGAAAAGCTTAATTGGGATCCCCAATTCCTATCCCTTGGATCCCCATTCCTATCCCTAATTCCTGAGGTGCCCACGCTGGCCACCAGACAGAAAGGCTTTCCCAGGCACAGTATCCGAGGGTCCAGGCGGGTGGGCGCGGTCAGAGCTTTCCCCGGAGGCCGGAACCCTGGGTGGGGGGAAGGGGCGCAGAAGGCTCCGAGGGCACACGGTGGGTGCCTGAGCAACCGGCGGGGCGGAAAGGCGGGTCTGTCGGGGTGTCAAGAAAACAAACAAACAAACAAAAACCACAAAAAAAGGCAGCCGGGGACTGCCTTAGTGCCTAGATCCGCCAACCGCCAGGCGAACCCTTCCGCGCCTTCAGGGCACCTCCCTAGACTTCCGTCGGACCTGTGACGTTAGCACGCGACGCTCGCAGCCAGGCCGACTTCCGGCGGAAGTGCGGGCTCACGGCAGCTGGGGCGTGGCCTGCCGCTCGCCAACGCGCTGTCCCGGTTGTCGCTCGGTGCGCGCCTGGCGTCCTGCGGAAGGTGGTCGTGTCTTGGTGCCGGAAGGCTATACTTTGGGAAGCTGTTTCCAGAAATCTTACTAAAATACGGTCCTAAGCTAGCGCGGGCGAGAACGCCGTGAAGAGGCCCGAGTCGCCTGGCGGCTTGGGTAGAAGAACCCCGCCAAGCAGGGACCCCGCTGGCCTGTGGCAGGCACCCTTAGGGGCTTCTGCATTGTGTCTTCGTGAAGGGCAGGATTTGCCCTTTTGCTTTCTGCCAGCCACGTTGGGAACTGTCTGAACGGTTCCAGGGTCTTTGCGCTTCCTGTCTCAGAACAGCTCTGAACATCCTGCCCCTGGGAACAGTGACAATTGCTTGACTCCAAACCTGCAGGATAAGAAGGAAGGCTGTTTAATGACAGTTGAGCCTGGGGTGAGAAAAGCTGCTTCCAAACATAGCATTGAGAAGCCCCCTGTGGGGCGTTCTTTGCTCTGAATGCCTCTGAATCCGCTGAGACCAGTCTATTCCTGATGCTTCTGAAAATCAGTCAGGCCCATCTTCCCTTTGAAAGGAAATGTCTGATCTCCAAACACTGGCTTTAAAGCTCTTCTCTTTTTCTGTCTTTGCTACCCACCCCAGCTTCTTGATTCTTTTTCTTTTTCCTTTTTAGAGAACTTACAAGCTGGGCACCTTCTGGTACATGTTGTGCAAGGCCTTCATGAACTTGTGGACACTGTACCAAGAAACAAATCCCCAAATCAGAAGATGTGATGCACCAGGGAGGACTGTGGTTATGGGTGGAACCTCATCACACACACACAGTGGGCTGGGTTGCATCAGCCATTCATTCATCAGCCTCAGCTGACACCTCACCCTGCTGCTTAATTCTGAGCTGGTGGTTAAGTACTTCGAGTTAATTTTTTTTTTTTTTGCTCATAAATGCAGAAGTTTATTTTTATCCCCATTCATTTTTTTCCAGATTAGACTTAACTTTTAATCTTGGTTAGAACACCCGTGTATTTTGTGTTGGGTTGTCTTTAATTTTTAAAAATTTTCGGAATGAGTACAATACTGTGTTCTTGGAAAAGAATCAATATACAAAACAAAACCAAAACTCTTCCTTGAACACCAAGTCCCAAGTCCCAATCCCTTGAAAAAAATTAATCACTTATTTAGTATATCCTCCCCAAATTCTTTTGTACATTTATTCATGGGGGCACCTGGGTGGCTCAGTCGATTAAGCATCCGACTTTTGATAGCTCAGGTCTTGATCTCAGGGCCGTGAGTCCAAACTCGATGTTGGGCTCCGTGCTGAGTGTGAAGCCTACTTAAAAAATAATAATCTTATACACTTATTCATAAATATTTATTCAGCAAATATATATTGAGTGTCCAACATATGCCAGGCACTGGGAATATAGCAATAAAACAAATATTCCTGAATTTTATAGTTTACACCCTAGCGTATATATACAAATACATAATTTGTTGTTCACAGAAATGGCATCATCCAAAATGGTACTCTACTTCTTTTTTTTTTTTTCCAGTCTTGGTGATCTTTCTACGTGTTTTTCTACTATACTGATTTGCCTCATTATTTGCATTTCATTACATAGCTGTGCTATAACTAGTCTGCCAGGGTCTCAAATTCCAGTGTCTACAGGGACCATGCAAATAATAAGTAACAAAGTAAAGCAAGTTTATTTTGTTGTAAACAGAAAGAGCTATTTATGCCAACCAAAGGATTCGTAACTTGAATTACACTGTTTCAAGAGTATTTGAAAATCTGGATTTTTATAACATAAATCTGATTTTTAAAATAAATTTATTTTTGAGAGAGAGCGAGGGCATGCTTGCACAATTTGGGTAAGAGGAGAGAGAGGGAGGGAGGGAGATAGAATCTGAAGCAGGCTCCAGACTCTGAGCTGTCAGCACAGAGCCCCCTGCGGGGCCCGAACTCACAAACTTCGAGATCATGACCTGAGCTGAAGTCAAACGCTTAATCGACTGAGCCATCCAGGCGCCCCCATAAATCTAATTTTTTTAATGTTGGCAACTAATCCAGGATTTTAAAATGCCGCTCAGGCTAAGCAGAACATACCTGCAGGACAAATTTAGCCCAAGGGCCACCAGTTTGCAATATAACTGTACTATTACTAAACATGTAGGTTGATTTCAGTTTTTGCTATTACAAACAATGCTACAGTGGAAATACCTGCGTGCGCTTCGTCACACACAACTAGGTGTATTTTTCTAGGGCAGCTCTGTGAAGTAGAATTTCTGGGCCAAAGAATATATAGGCATCCTAATTTTAATAGATGCTACTAAATTGCTGTTCTGCCACAAATGTCTGAGTCTGTCTCTCCAAACCTTTGCCAACATTTATTTTTTTATTAATTTCTTTTAAATTTTTTTTAACATTTTATTTATTTCTGAGAGAAAGAGAGACAGTGTGAGAAGGGGAGGGTCAGAGAGAGAGGGAGACACAGAATCCGAAACAGGCTCCAGGCTCTGAGCTAGCTGTCAGCACAGAGCCCGACGTGGGGCTCAAACCCACGAACCCTGAGATCATGACCTGAGCTGAAGTCAGACACTTAACCAACTGACTGAGCCATCCAGGTGCCCCTTTTATTAATTTTTTAAAATTTACATCCAAGTTAGTTAGCATATAGTGCAACAATGATTTCCAGAGTAGATTCCTTATTGCCCCTCACCCATTTAGCCCATCTCCCCTCCCACAACCCCTCCAGTAACCCTCTGTTCTCCATATTTAAGAGTCTCTTATGTTTTTGTCCCCTTCCTTGTTTTTATATTATTTTTGCTTCCCTTCCCTTATGTTCATCTGTTTTGTATCCTAAAGTCCTCATATGAGTGAACTCATATGGTATTTGTCTTTCTCCGACTAATTTTGCTTAGCATGATACCCTCTGGTTCCATCCATGTAGGTGAAAATGGCAAGATTTCATCCTTTTTTTTTTTTAATGTTTTTATTTATTTCTAGGAGAGAGAGAGAGAGACACAGCGCGAGCAGGGGAGGGCCAGAGAGAGAGGAAGTCACAGACTGAAACAGGCTCCAGGCTCTGAGCTGGCAGTCAGCACAGAGCCCGACGCGGGGATCGAACCCACAAACCGCGAGATCATGACTTAAGTGAAAGTCGGACACCTAACCGACCAAGCCACCCAGGCGCCCCAAGATTTCATTCTTTTTGATTGCCGAGTAATACTCCACTGTAAGTATATATACCACGTCTTCTTTATCCATTCATCCATCGATGGACATTTGGGCTCTTTCCATACTTTGGCTATTGTTGATAGTGCTGCTGTAAACATTGGGGTGCATGTGTCCCTTCAAAACAGCACACCTGTATCCCTTGGATAAACACCTAGCAGTGCAATTGCTGGGTCGTAGGGTAGTTCTATTTTTAATTTTTTGAGGAAGCTCCATACTGTTTTCCAGAGTGGCTGCACCAGTTTGCATTCCCACCAGCCCTGCAAAAGAGATCCTCTGTCTCCACATCCTCGCCAGCATCTGTTGTTGCCTGAGTTGTTGAATACTTTCCAGCATTTAATAGATCAGTTCCTTTAACATTTACCATTCTAATGGCTAAAATGGCATATTATTTATTTGCTCAACAAACATTTATTTGTATAGTGATTCCTGTGTTCCAGTTACTGTCCCAAGCACTTAAAAATTTTTTTAAATATCATTTAATCTTTATAGGAACTCAATGAGATAAGCATTATTATTACTGTTGTTATGATGATGATACTATAGATAAGGAAACAGGCACAGAGAAGTTAAATTTTCTAGGCACATAGAGCTAGAAAGTATTAGCAACATGATTCAAACTCAGACCATTGGGGTCAAGAACCAGTATTCTCCATTACTGTGCTGGGCTGTCTTAATGACCACTAGCCAGTTTCTAGTGATGAACGTCTTCCATGCTTACTGGCCAATTACCTTTCCTCTGTTGTGAGTTGCTTACACTTATCCTCTACCATTTTAATTTGAGTTGTTTACCATTTTCTCGTTGCTTTGCAGCACTTATTTACATATATTATGTATTTGTTAATGTGTGGGCAAGCTGCTTCTCTTGGTTTAGTCCCCTCCCCCCTCAAAAAAGCAAACCCCGAAACAAGGGTTTGGTACAAGTTTTTGGAGAGATTCCCTGGAAACATGGCAAGGGATTGGGAAAGTGAGAGAAGAGTGGAAAGCCAAGAAAGCAGATGTTGATGAGTAGGGGTGGGCACTCAGGGCTCGGTATCACCGGGGACCCTCTGAGAGGCTCCATAGCGTATGCCTCCGAATTGTGTCACTGAGGGACAGCGCAGCAGTGGTACGCACCAACCATTGCTGGGGCAGTTGCTCCCCAGGCCAGGCCTGCTCACACAGAGCCCAGCCCAGCCCCTGGAGAGAACCCCCTGAGGCTGAGACTCAGGAAACCATCAGCATGTATGGCAGCCATTGCAGGTGGCTGCTACAATGGGCTGTGGGGATACAGGCAGGACACCTACAATGTCTGCTATGCTGTTATGACAGAGAGATCCCCACACACAAGGGCTGCAATAGGAAAGAAGTCTATTTCTTTCACACACTGTTGTCCAGAGGAAGGTGGTGGTTCACAGCGGTAGGCAGTTCTGTCCCAGGGGACCCACAAGATCACACAAAGACCCCGATTCTTCCTCTCATGTTCTCTACTGCCAGGCAAAAAAACTTTCTCTGCACACTGCACCCTTAAGTGCCTTAGAGATTTTTTCACACAGCTCCTAAGCCCAAAGAAATATCTAACAATCTCCACGCTTAAATAATGAGCTCCAAACAACTTCATAAATGTATAAGTCCTAGCAACTTAGTGTCCTTTGCACAGTATATCA